ATAAATAAACACACGTTAGTCAGTTATGCAACTGTTTAAATAGTATGAGTGTGGGTGAGTTTTTTCTGTGACCATATGAAAACTTCGCTGGCTCCTTCACATCTTAAGAGTGGTTGTAAGCGGAATACGTGTATACTTTCGATCACACACCTACTTTGTCATCCACATGAGGGTATAGATGTGGGTATTATATTCACCATGTACCTACACACTCACACTCACATCCTCTGCCATCAAAAACTAAGTGTACAAAAGATAATTGTACAATGAAAATAATCATATATTTATTCTACACAGAAATGTCGTTTGAAATTAATAGCTCTAACTCCTTTTTTGTTTACAATTTCTGTCATCTTGCGAATGTGAGTATTGATAAAAAGAACAGATCCATCTTTCACATCCTTTTCGAAAAAAATATCCGACTATCATTCTGTTTTCTTTTGTATTTTTGATCTTAACAAATTTATTCGATCTGCGAAGAAAAATAGATATGGAGATAGGAGACAGAAGTCGACTTCTATTTCAGGAATGTTTTACTCATACGATTAGTTTTTAGAGAAACAGATGACGAATTGTTTTATAAATATTCTTCTATGTGATTATTATAGTTATTATATACTTCAAGTTCAGAATCTTATTAAACAGCAAAAGAAAAAGAAGCTACTTGAAATCGAAGTAACTTATCAAGAAAAATTTAATAACGATCAAAAGTTATTTAAAATCATGTTAAAAATTTCGACACCAAAGCAATTTTATATCAACTATGAGAAAAACACATTATGATACTCTTCTATCGAAATTAAGAAAAGTGAAAATATTGAATAAATGTAATGCTACATATATACAAGCATATTCTCAACATTAATCATGACTTAGCATTGATTACAATTTACAGAATTCTTTTTATTTGTACTTCTGCTGTACGATTACATATTTTTTCATGACTCAAAATTTATATATAATTCTGACTTTCGTAAAATAACAACAAAAAATTGACAAAAAGGACCTATACTCTTTGATATCACCCACTTTTTTTTTCTAACTGTTATTAATATTAATCATAAAGTTTTCATTATTATACAAGTGATATAAACCCTGCATGATTTTATGAATGAACTGTAACTTGCGTATTAACGAAGAATTAGCTATAGAAAACAAAGATTTATTTACGACCGTAGAAAAAAATTATAATTAAAAACTAACGTGTTTGACTATATGACAATTTGAACTATGATAACTTGAATCGTTATGTTTATTTTTTAAATTTGCATTTTAAAAAGAGAATATATTCAGTGGGAGTGTCAACAAAAATTGTTGATATATATATCTGTACTGTCTCGATCATGTTCCGAAGCTATTTTAAATATGAATATGATGAAAAAATTGAATATACAGCAGATAGATTATTCTTTTTTACATATCATATAATTATTACTATTTTAGGTTTGTGTAATGGGTTGACTATTACAGTAAAACTAGTTTGAATAGTAATGAAAGAACAGCTATACGTAGCTCTAATAGCAAGTTTACTGTCTAGATGAAAAATGAGGAGAAATTTCTGAGTCTATGCTTGTACACCATTTTTTTCAAACTTATTTCGAAATTTTCTACGAACAAGTGCTTAATCATTTGAGATATCCTACATGTATACAGCGTACATTTCAGCTCGATTATAGTTACATAGTTATGAAATCAACAATATTTTCATGTATCGTTCGAAGAGCGCACGTTTTCTATCGATCAATATATAAAATGTAAATTGACGGACAATTTTTATCATATATTTCCTAGTATCTACAGATAAAAAATACGTATCTGATAAATATGCATCGTTATATTACATTGAAGGAAAGAATAAATCATGCACGTACATAAGTCATGCACGTATGTGAATCGAGCGCGTATATAAACCATACGATAGTGCATCAAAAAATCATTTCAACTGATCAATTAAACAATATAACTCAAATTTCTTTCTGTGGTAAGTATGTAAACAATTACGATTACAAATTCGCATAAGCTCGTCATTTGTACATTTTTAGTATTAAACTGAACATGCGTCAGTGTTATCTATTTACTACTCTTCTCCTGATTTTTATTATCAATCATGTGTATTCCAATCCATCTAAGCCAACCAAAGCTTGCTTAATGTGTTGTGGCAAACCTCCATGTTGTAACTGTTGTGGTTTACCTAATTGTGATGGTACGAACAAACAAGCCACTACTGATATAAACACAAAATCAATCAAATCTAAAAGAGCTTTTCCTGTTCCAATCAGCAAACCTGGTCCACCGACAATGTGCCTTAATTGTTGTGGAAAACCACCATGTTGTAATACATGCGGACTCGATCCTGTTCTTTCTAACTAAAATGATTTATTAACATAATTTCAAGTTTTTTTAACTTTTATTTTATTGTTCATTAGTTTTTAAAAATATCTAATCTTTTATCATATTCAAAATAAACTTATTTCATTACAAAATAACTAGACTCTGTAAACGGCATATATATATGGAAATTAAGATAAGAGAATATTGATACTATCATCTTCGTAGTTTGTAACAATTATGTCAGGTCTACTGTTGCTACACCACGTTTTGTGCTATAATAAATAAAAATTAGAAGAAATTAATTCTCTTTTTATTATGCATCGACGACACGTATTGATTATATTTACTATTTGGTGTTGATGGTATATTTGTTGTTTGCGTTGGAATTACTGTGAAATAAGATAGAATCTAATATCTTCAATCATCGTGTCATAATAAACAACTGTATTTTTACTATAATAACTGTTACCACGCATTGCAATCATATTCACAATACAAACTATCTGCAATAAAAAAACAATTAAAGTCAGACTAAAGTCAAATATATGTCTAAAGTTCAATTAATGAGATGAGTTTCTGTCACAATGTTATGTTTTCAGTGCTTCAATTAGGAATTCATTTAGACATTGCTTACTCTTGGTCTTGCTAGTGGAATATTGTTTTTATCAACTAATAGAAAAAACAATTGCTCTAACTACTGAAATGTTCCTGTTTTCAACTCTGACATATAGTATATGAAGGTGAACAAAGCAATGGACGAAATGATCATCTTATGAAAAGAATAACAATAACAGAGAGAAGGACACAAAGAAGCGTCCATAAATAAACAAGAAAAAGAAAGAAACACGACATGAACAAGAATGTGTATAGCGTTCATCTCGTATTGCTGATTTGTGTAGAACATTGTCATTAAGACACATTATAAAATTGTGTTATTTTTACATATGATATTAAACGAATATTTAAACTTACATTCTCAACAAAGTATTGAGATGAAGACGAAATCGAATGTAGATAAAAAAAACAATTATTATAGCAACTATAGAAAGTGTATTCTCATCACTGATTGTAGAGATATAACGTAGGGTGTACAAGCACTGTGTTAATCTTGAGGGTGTGAGAGTAGAGGAGCCCTTAACACCCACATCCACACCCTTGATTTCTCGAAGTCTAATTCCAATATAATCATGGATGAGGGTGTGTATGTGTATATATGAATAAGAATAGAAAAGATGTACTGTCACCAGATGTCGTTGATGAAGGTTGTTTATCTGATAATACAATTTGTTGATACTTTAATAACTTTTCTCGACTTTAACTTGATTCTATGTAGATAACCTTTGGAAGAGTCTAAATTAATTCAAAAGAAGTATGAGAATCATTGTAGAGGTGCATCAAGTCAAATCATGACGTCATACTTGAACATCGCGTTCATGTGATGAGACGATACATTCCTCTTGCGTCTACGTCAGACACATGATTCATATTCTGTTTTCCTCTTACGTGCATACTTAAACACTCTGTTGACACATGATTATAGTTATAAGGATTTATTTCAACATAATCATCATTTCAAATAACATTCGCGCATAAAAATAAGATATGGAACTGTCACCTATTGTCAATATTGAACAAGTTCAATCTGAAAGCAAAGCTAAGCAGCCTACTCGTCGTCCATTAATTCATGTTTTTACAGGCTTTCGTGCGTTAGCATGTTTGTGGATATTTATGTTCCATAGTACGTTGAACAAAATGGACGAAATCGTAAAATTTCATATTGAATGGGTATCGTGGAGTGGAGCGGCGGGTGTCACATTATTCTTCTGTTTGAGCGGTTTTGTCATGGTTTGGACATATGGTGATTGTGAATTCAAATCCACAAGATGTTATTGGTCGTTTATTGGGCGAAGAGCAGCTCGATTATTCCCCCTATATTATTTTTTATTGCTTTTATCTATTTATGACATTCGATGTGTATGGGTTAAAAATAAATCATGTACTAGAGAGTATTTCATACTTATTGTGTCAACTTTATTACCTGTACGAACATGGATTCCTTATAGATTAGATTTTGAAAAATGGAACGCTGCAATATGGAGTGTACAAACAGAATGGTTCTTGTATCTTGTTTTTCCTTTTCTTCTTCGTCTAATTCGTTATTTATTAAATACAACAAAGATTAGTCTTCTTTCAAATATCAATAATAAGACAAAAGCATTGATACGTTTATATTTCATGTGGTTCATAGTTCTATGTATTTCAACAATACCTTTTCTATTTCGATTCACGATACTTGATCATATAACGAATACAGCATATCAATTTGCTTCAACATCAATAATATATGTTTCACCTTTGACACGAATTTTTGAATTTACTCTTGGAATACTGACAGGTATTATATTTATATTAAAATCGCCACTAGATAATCAAATGAATCAATCTGATATAAATGTAGTCATTACTTCACTATCAAATGATAAACAACAACAGAAAAATGAATCTTCATCAACATCCATATCACATACAAATAATAGTCATTTAAGATATAATTGTCATTGTTTCATGTTTGATATTTATTTCTTATTGGGATTATTATTTTTTATTTTTATTTGTGCACCACTTCTATTTAACGAACCAATGTTTTATGGATATTCTTCTTTAATATGTATGGGACCACTGATTTCTCTAATTATGTGTACATATCTATATTTTTCTGCTAAATATTCTTTATCATTAACATCAAGACTATTAACAACATCGTTATTAATAAATATGGGTGAAATTTCTTATGCATTTTATTGTTTGGTTGACACATTGCCAACAATATTTTTACTAATATCAGGTAAAAATGAAGACAGTGTAATTATGAAACTATTTGCTGGTATTGGCATTGCTGTATTTGCTCGTCATTATATTGAAATGCCTTTTTATACATGGGCAAATAGGAAACTACCAAAATGCCAATGTCAGAGTCAATAAAACTTGAAGATGTGGTTGTGGATCAGCAGAAAAAACATCCACTAGGCATTATGACCCACACCCACCGTTAATCTTTTATTTTTTTTCAAAAGTCAAATAAAAAATGTAAATATAAATCATCTATATTCCACATAAAACTTTTCAATTATTTTCACCTGATATAGTCAAGTTATGATTAGTTTAGCACATACAAGTTCTTATCGAGTTAATAGCTAATGTTCATGATGAAAATAGTCAATAATTTTTAGTTACAACAGGACACAATTATTCTAATTTAATTAAACATTGATTAATCTTGAAATGACAAGACATAATTTTCTACTTATGACAAAAAGATTTTTAAGAAAGACAACGTTGTTTACACTATAAACACAAGAACAAGAGAAAAATCTTTAAAGAGCAGAATTTATCTGCTGAAAGCAAAGGAGTTGGCTATTTTGATTGATCTTGCTGATGAGTTTTTACTCTTTCAGATTCCCGATATTCCATTCGACGATTAGAAAACCATGCCTTTAATATAAAAAAACAAATAAATGAATTTCTTCTAAAGAAAATACTAATTTAATATACTTGAATTGTTGGTTCAGATATATTGAGTTCTAACGCAAGTTTTTCACGTTCAGATATTTCTGGATAATGTTTAATATTGAAAACTAAATATAAAATATTAAATATACTCATTTTTATTTTAATATGAAAAAAAAATACCTTGTTCTAAAACATCATTTTGTTTTTGCGTAAATGATGTTTCATTTTGATTTTTATCTTCAGAATCTGGATTTTCAACTGAATCAAGATTTTTTAAGACTTTAAGGATTGATGATACCTGAAATGAGAAAATATATCAAGAATAGAAAAATTTTCATCAGAATAATTTATCAAATGACATACACTTGGAACGTCTTCTAACTTGCATTTTATTTCTTGGAAAAGCCGATAACGAATTTCCCATGCAAAGATGGATGGATTTTCATGCTTATATTCAAATATTTTTCTTTTAAAATCAGGTTCAATTACACAAGATTCTAAATAAAAATTGTAATTACTGATGGTGATTGATTTAGTATACTTACTTTTATCGAGTATTGGTTTTCCATTATCGCTATCCATTGTATAGATAAATTAGAATAAGAAAAATAAAATAATATTATCAAACTCTAGATTAAAATAACTGAAACTTGAATAAAAACAAATATTTTTCTAATGAATAAATTGGAATGATTGTCTGTCTGTATTATTTGGTATGCTATTTATATATGGCTATAGTTCATCGCTCCAAATATTTTTTTCTATCGAATTTAAAGCTGTAGAGAGGTCAGCTTACGATGAAGTTCCTTGTAAATGACCTCTACATATGCATTATATAGACATAGACAGAGGTCAATCGGTCACATATTGGAAACCATGGATGGAGTATGTCGAACTGAAGGTCAAGGCTAGGTAAATAGTTCACAATATATATATATATAAAGGGCATAATATAGGACAAGTCAACATGACGTTAACAGTCAATTTTCTTCTTTAGATACTTTTTAATAAAAATATTATTTTATTCGTATTTGATTGTATCTTGAGAACACCACTTCAAAAATAAATATTTCAAAGCATTTTCTCCATACTTTTCACCCATATGTTCCCCAAAAATGAGCGTATTTGAGGGTATGAATAATGGATAACAGAATAATCTCACCCACACCTTCAAGATGATTCAGGTGATTTAACCCATCTAATATCAAAGTCATATATGCATTTAAATTGATTGATTTTTATTTGTTTCAATAAATAATTCTAGTATGGAAAGCGTGTCAGTCCGTCTTTTATATACATTAGCAACAATTTTCTCTTATTAAGTTTTCTTTTAATAATTATCTTTGAACATTTTGAAAAATCATGAATTAGAATATTTTCAGCTTCAAAAAATCTCTTTTTCTCAATGCTCAATTTCTATTGGTTCTCACCCACACCCTTTCAGACCTCAGATTCGAGTTCTGCGACCCAAAAAACCCTTCGGTGAAGTTTTACGACGTATTGTGTATATTTTTTTCTTGGATGTTTTT